TCCCTCGGTTGGGGAACTCTCAGGAACTGTGGCGGCTCGAAAGCCTCCGAGGGTTTGGTACCCTGAGTAGCCGCGCGCCCAGGGGCTGGGGCTGGGCGTTCGGGGCGTGGGTGACAGGTCGCCCTTCCTTGCCCCGATCTTTACTGCTCCAGTTGGGGAGGGGGGAAGGACAGACGGGCGCGTTTGGGATTTCGCTCACGTCTGAAGTCAGGCTGCAGCAGGACTGGGACGAGGGGGGGGGGGGAGTCTCGGCGTCAGAGCGACAGAGGAGAGAAGCGCTTGAACCCAAGGGGGTATTTCTGCAAGCTTTCCCCCTACTCCTAAACACCCTTTTAAAAAAGCCAACGGCCGCCCTGGGAGAGGCCCCAGCATGAATCATCCTCGCTTCCTGCCCCCTCCCGGCCCCGCGCTCCGGGTGCCGTGGATTTGAACTGGACGCCGACGAGAACCCGCAAACAGGCATTTCTTTGCAGATGGGTTTGAATCAGCCAATCACAGCCCGCGGGGGCCCGCTCCGGGAGGATGGAGGCGGGGGGGGGCGGGGCCGCCACCCGGGGGCCCCCGCCCGGCCAGGGAGGGGGCGCGGCGACCGGGCGGGCTCCCAAAGGCGCAGCGGGGGAGGAAGTGTCAGTTTGTGAACCTGCCGCGGCTCAGCCCTGGCCCCAGGCCGGGCCGATGGGGGCTTCGCAACGCTGGGGGAACCAGGTGGCAGGAAGAGGGCAGGGGTTCAGACTGCGTCGGTCCCATGCCCAGTGTCTGTGAGCGCTGCCCCAGAGAACAGAGAGAAATCGGAGGGGGCTGGAGGGAGACGTGGTCACACCGCCGCCGTCTGGGGAGCCCACACCCCAGCAGTGCCTTGCTCGCGCAGGCCCCGTAAAGGCGCGCACGTGTGTTTAGTTTCACTTACTCCCTGGCACACTGCTGTGGGCATCACCCTACACGGGCTCGCAGCAGCACACGGCCCCAACCTCGGAACGTGCACAGGACTCTCCTGCCTTCAGATAGTCATAACCCCAGGTGCCAGCGCCAGCAGAGGGAGGAGTCGGGAAGGGAGTGCAGGGAACTGACAGGGCGGCGTTGGACTGTAGTGGAGAGTGGGCGGAGGGGCACGGAGCCAGGTGAGCCCAGAGAGGGAAGGAGGGGGCGTTGACGAGGGCTTCAAACACCAGTGAAGGCCACAGTTTCTAGAAGGGCATTGGTGGATGGTGGACCTGTGGAAGAGTTCCGTGGAGAGGCAGGAGAGCGGCGTCTGGTGTACCATTCTCCCTTGCCGGTGCCTAGCATAGGTGAGTGCGCACACAGCTCAGGAAACAGTGAATGAATGAATGGCCCAAGTAAAAGGGAAGGCCCGGACTCAGACCAGGACAGAATGATGGAAAAGTGATGGACAGCAGCAGTCACTGCTTGCAATTGGCAGGCTGTGGCAACTCACTGTTAGGAGAAGTCTGAGATGCCTGAGGGCTCTGGGGGCCATGGAGGGGCCCTTAGCTTGGAGAGAGAAAGGACGGGGGGCAGTCCCATGCTGAATAGGCTGGTGAGAGGCAGCCTGGACAGGGCGGCACCGGGATGACTTGATTGCCTGGAGCAAATTTGCATCTGGGTAGAGGCATGAGCTGGTTTAAATGTCCCAGAGTTGGTTTCTATTAAATCATCCCCTAATTGAGAACAGAAAAAGGGATTACAAAAGACACAGATGGCCCAGTCTACACCAGTTCACAAGCCACCCCAGGGGTTTTCCTTTTCCTTTCTACGGGAGTTTTCTCTGGACAGACCTCAGGGTAGGGATGAGGGATGCAAAATCTTCCCAGCTGCTCCCCTGGAGAAGGCCCTCCACCCAGGAACTGGAGTGTGCTTAAGAAATAAAGCCTCACGGGACCAGCAGATGGCGTAATGGTTATATGGCTGGACTCCCATGTAGTCGACCCTGGTTTGAGTCCTGCACCTGACAGCTTGAAACACACTGGGTGCATGTGCATGTGTGCCCAAAAATCCCAAGAGGAGAAAGGAGGAGAAGGGATTGTGGTGTGACCATCCCCCTGAGATGTGATTTCTTGCTTTCTGTCTCTGCGACGAGTACACGTGCCCTATAGCAAAAATCTCTCTAAAAAGAAAAGAATAGAAAAGAAATAAAGCCTCCGTCTCCTGAGACAGGGACTGTGGTTCAGACAGGACAGGGGATGTTGCTTGGAAATGGTTGAAAGATTCGTTCTATCTCTCTTCGTTGTGAAGAATTATTTATTTAATTTTATTTATAGATTTATTTATTTTAATTTTTGATCAAAGAGAGACAGAGATAGAGAGAGACAGAAAGTGAGAAAGCAAGCCACCAGGTGTGAGACCTGAACTGCCATCAACCATGTGGGAGTCCAACGGCCCAACTACCATGCCACCTGCCATCCCCTCTCTCTCTTTTTAAATTTGCTAGAGGACACTCACTCTCACGAGAGAGACAGAGAGAGGAAAATGAGGAAACACCACCACCACCACCCCCATGAGAGATGGCAACACGGCAATCCCTTCTCCACTTCTTCCATGATTTGGGGTACACAGCACCCATGCCTGGTATTTTTTTTCTTTTATTCAAGCTGCCAGGTCTGAGGCTTGAACTACTCAGTCCATCATGTGGGTTCTAGCCACTTTAACCACCACCCCACTGCTGGCCAGATTCATTCTCTCTAGAAAGCAGCCAGGAATGAGTGGAGAGAGTAGGACCTACTTGTATGTCCTCACCTGATGGTGCCACAGCTCTGCCTCTGATGGGCGAGTCACTTCCCCTGCCACGCCTCAGCTTCCCTACCTTACAGGGAATAATAAATCTGCCTCATAGCGTGTGGTGAAGACAAGGTAAGCCGATAACACGTCTGGCCGATAGCACAGGTCAGAGAAAGAGCAGTTTCCATCCTCAGATGGGCTTTCTGGAGCAGGGAAGCGAAAGGTAAAGGCCCTGTTCTGGCTCTCTCCCAGGGCCAGTGGAAGCTGATGGAGAATCGAGCTCCAGATCCAGGGACTCGGGACTCCTATGGTGCCACCAGCCACCTCCCCAACAAGGGGGCCCTGGCGAAGGCCAAGAACAACTTCAAAGACCTGATGTCCAAGCTGACAGAGGGCCAGTATGTGCTGTGCCGGTGGACAGATGGGCTGTATTACCTCGGGAAGATCAAGAGGGTAAACCTTCCCACCTGGCCCCTGCCCCCAGGCCTGGCATTTCTCTGCTCACCCCGTGGCCAAGCTCTCAGACCAGGGACAGGAGGGGGGAGATTGCCGAAGAATTACTCTCTCATCCCTCATGCCCAAAAGCTGAAAGTGGGTGCTCATTTTGGTGGGCACCGTATTTAGTGCCAGTGTCACCCAAGCAGTTCTTTAGCAAAGTGCTCTGAGAGCCCAGAACACCAAAGCAGGCTGGAGGGGGTCACAGTGGCCAACTGGGCTGGCCTTCTGCCCTCCATAGTCCCACCCAGTTGTTATCCCCATCCCCGTCTGGGCAGCTCCAGTGACACACTGCCTCCAAGAGCTGCCCCCCTCCGTTCCCTTCTAGACCAGCTCTGATTCCTGGAGCAGAAGGAGACAAAAGTGGGGGAGAGGGGCCATGTTCCGGCCTGCCTTTCCCCAGCCACTTTCTCACGTGGCTTCCTCTCTGTGCCCAGGTCAGCAGTTCCAAGCAAAGCTGCCTTGTGACTTTCGAAGACAATTCCAAATACTGGGTCCTGTGGAAGGACATACAGCACGGTGAGTCTTGCTAAAATTTTGGGTCCCCCCCACTCTCCTGCATCTTTCTCTGGTACCACCTTCATTTTTTTCCTTCTCTTCTGCCACCTCTTATTTCTAGGATCTATCCTTGTCCATGAACCCCCTGCTAAGCCCACTTGGGATGATGATGGCAGTTGTGACCTCTGCCCCATCCCCTTGAGTGCTCAGAATTGAGGGAGACCAGCAGGTCGTGTGGTGGTTAAGGGCACTGGATTCCCACATGACCAACCGTGGTTCAAGTCCTGGACCTTTCTTTCTCGCTTTCCCTTTCTCTCTCTCTCTCTCTCTCTGGTCAAATTAAAAAATAGTAATAACAAATGGAATTAATTAAATAAATAATTATTTAAAAAAAAAATAACTCCTGAGTGGGGAGGACAGGTGGGAGAGGGTCCCCGAGGTGCTGCAGAGCCAGGACTAGGCTTCCTTGCCGTACTTCATGTCCTGCTGCTCAGAGCTCTGGGGCAGTCTGGGGCTAGGAACAAGGAGGAGCCCAAGCAAGCAGAATTGTCACCTGTGGATTTGAGCAGTGTCTGCTCTCAATACAGTGGAGGCAGTTCTACCCATGGGGCAAGGAGTAGGGGGTGTGGAGAAGACCAAGAAAGCAGAGATGGAGCAGGCAGGATAACGATGGACAAGCCTAGATGGAGCTGGACCAGCTTTCAGGACACAGAAGGAGCCAGGCTGGGTACTGTGGTGGCCCACAGAGAGCTGACTTTGTCCTACAGAGATGGCACATCAGAGGTGCTGTCACCATTCTTCTGTTCTGTGCACATGACAGACATCACGTGTAGTCTGTGACAACACTCATGTGTTTTCTTTTTTATTTTAATACTTTTTAAAAGAATTATTTATTTTTAATTTATTTATTCATTCATTTATTTTCATTTGACCAGAGAGAGACATGGGGGCTTGGGGGGTGTGGGGTGAGAAAGCAAGCTGCCAGGTCCAGGACTTGAACCACAGTTGGCCATGTGGGAGTCCAGCACCCTTAACCAACACTGCCTGCCAGCCCCTGCTCATGTATATTCAGCATGGAGCTCCAAGCAGCTGCTACCAGTCACTCAGTCGTCATGAGAGAAGAAATCTGTTTGCCTTCTGTGCTCTAATGGGAGAAGAGATATGGCGGCATGGAGGAAAGTGGCAGTTTTAGAGTCAGACAGACCTTGCACCGAGTTCTAGCTCTGTGCCACTTACAAGCTGCATCTTCTTTGGCAAATCATGCAACCTCTCTGAGCCTCCCTTTCTTCCCCTGAAAAATCCTGAAAGTACTGGCTTCATAGGGTGGTTGGGAGGATTAAATGAGATAATCCTGTAAAGTGCTCAGGCCAGGGCTGTTGAGCTACAGGGAAGCAGTTTCCAGAGTATATTACCATAAGAGATGATTCCAAGAAGCCTGCCAAGTAGTGGCCACAGAACTCAGGCAGCTATGGATTTTTTAAAATAGCCCCTTTCTCTAAGAACATGTGACCAATGCAGGCTGGTTCTTCTCCAAGCCCCTCTCACTCTAAGATCCAAAGCAATGAGGGTCTCCTTTCCTAGATACCCCGTTATGGAAAACATAGGAGCGAGCTGGGGAAAAATACAGCTCATCTTAGCCGTAGCAGGCCCACAGTGTATTATAAAGGTGCTGTTGTGTTTGACTGGGGAATGGCTTGTCTTCCCGGTCAGATGACAACACCTCCTGGGCTGACAGTGGCTCCCTAGTGTCTGCCAGGATGAGAGCATAAAGCTGAGGATACTGTAGTTATTGGTCCCTCACTTCATTAAGCCAGTGAGGACTTACCCTTCCTGGGGGTATAGTCTGAGGAAAAAAGGGTAAAGTTCCTGCCTCACCTTTTATTCCACAAACATGTCCTGAACTCCTATTACATGAGGTTCTGGGAATACAGAGAACAGGAGATACCATTTCTGCCATTACAAAACCTTCAGCCTACTGAGAAAATAAGACAGAAGCACAAATAAAAATGTATTTAGTATATTCAGACAAATCTTTAACACATAAAACATACTTTTTCTTCAACAACAATAAAAAAATGAAAAGAAATAGAGAGATGGCCATTAGATTAAAAGCAATTGCAATAGCATAGCAGCCAAACACTGCATGTCGACTTCATGAGGAGACTTCAAAAAATGGAAATTTAAAAAGTGGAATTAAAGTACAAGGTTATTTTGGTGCCAAAAATGTTTTGGAATCTATGCATAATTTTTTTCATAATCATTTTCCATGAACCTTTGGAAGAGCCCACAGATTTGGTCTTGATGCACAAGAATAAATTTTAACTTGTTGATGTTTCTATTTAAGAGTCAGTTGGAAACGTGAATACTAATTGAATTTGTTGATGGTATTAAGAAATTATGTTGGGCCGGCAGGTGTGTCATGGTGGTTAGGATGCTGGATTTCCACATGGCTGACCATGATTTGAGTCCCAGACCTGGCAGCTTTCTTTCTCACTTTCTCTCTCTCTCTGTTTCTCTCTGTTTCTCTCTCTGGTGAGTGTGTGTGTTCTGTAGCAAATGAAATAATAATGATGATGATCATAAATAGAATTAAATAAATAGTTTTTTTTAAAAAAAAGAAAAAAGACTGGAGTTAGGGTAACAGGCACCTCAGAGTGGTTGGGGTTAGGTGCTATATGGGCAAGTACTACTAGGAGCAGCAGCAGCTTAGCATCTGGACTGTGATTTAAAAACTTTCCTAACTCCTATGAGGCAGATCTGACTTTAGAGGGCCTCTCTTCCAGCTGGTGTTCCAGGAGAGGAGCCCAGGTGCAGTATCTGCCTGGGGAAGACATCGGGACCACTGAATGAGATCCTCATCTGTGGGAAGTGTGGCCTGGGTGAGTGGGATGAGCCTGGCACTGGGAAGGCTCAGACCTGTGGGCCCCATATCCCCTGCATATCCCCTGGGAAGGCTCAGACCTGTGGGCCCCTGATGGGCATCACTCCAGCCTCAGCTGGCTTCCTGTTTCTCTTGGAGTTCCAGAGTGAAAGGGGGCCATTCTCTGAGTAAGGACCCAGGGAGGTGGCCTTGAGGGAGCTGGGATGGTAGGAGAGGGTGTGCAGTTCATAGCCCTCCTAGATAGAAAAGGTGGGTGGGAAAGGTGGGGCACAGGTGCTGAAGCCAGAGCTTGTGTCTCCCTCACTGGCCAGTGCTGCCTGTCAGGCCCCAGCCTGGACACTGACTTGGCAGCCTGAATGGCATCACCAGCCAATCTGGCAGCTGGCAGGCAGAGCTCCCAGGACTTGCTGCAGCCCTTCCTGGGCTGCTGCTTCCTCGTGGGCACTCAACACCCCTCCTGTGCTGTAGGTTACCACCAGCAGTGCCACATCCCCATAGCAGGCAGTGCCAGCCGGCGCCTGCTCACGCCCTGGTTTTGCCGACGCTGCATCTTCGCCCTGGCTGTGCGGGTGAGCCCTCCACCCTTCCCTGTCCCTACCTCCCCTGTCCCTGCCTCCCCAGCTTCCTTCTGTGGGGCAGCCACACTCCCTCTGCAGGCCCAACTCCCCATCCCAGAGCCCGAATTCAGGGGCCTGAACTTTGGACACAGCTTCCCCTTGCCAGGGCTTGTCCTTGGCCTCCCTGAGCCTCAGTTTCCTCAACCATAAAATGGACACAGGTTTCATATTACAAGTAGGAGACCCTCAATAAATGGTGCTTTGTTATTGAAAGAAAAAAGCCATGTAAATGCCCATTCTCAATAGTATTGGCAATTGATATCTTGACTTAAAGCGCTCATTGCTATTAATATTGTTATATTAATGGAGAGCCTTCTGGGATAGATGGGTTTGGGGGCAGGTGAGAAAAATCTCCTTGCAGTTTCTGAAATATCTGCGGGGTACCTGGGCAACATTTTCCTGGGTAGCCCTGTGCAGGTGCGTGTTGCGCAGTGGGACTCCGGCCAGTGACTCGGGCCCTGTCTCCCCCCAGAAAGGCGGCGCGCTGAAGAAAGGCGCCATCGCTAGGACGCTGCAGGCGGTGAAGATGGTGCTGTCCTACCAGCCGGAGGAGCTCGAGTGGGACTCGCCCCACCGCACCAACCAGCAGCAATGCTACTGCTACTGCGGCGGGCCCGGAGAGTAAGGCCGCGGGGATGGGGGTCTTAGGGAGGTGGGTCATGTCTGGGAGCCTCAGGCGACAGGACCGGGACCGACAGGGGCGGGCGTGCATGGTCAGATCCAGGGGAAGCCACATTGAAGACCTAGCCTTGAGTGTCAGCCAGAGGCGGGACCTGGGGGCGGGCCTCGAGGAGCGAGTCCCGAGTGACAGCCGCGGGGGTGGAGCCTAGGGAGGTGGTGCCTGACCGGGCAGGAGTGACAGCCGCAGGAGTAGGGCCTTAGGGGCGGGTCCGGA